AATGATTGTGGCAGAGCTTTTTTAATCTCCCAAGTGTCCTCACAAAAACTAAGAGAGTAGGGCCTCCCCGGTGGTGCAGCAGGTTGAGCGCAGCGCTGTGAAGCTGTCCGCAGCCTCTGCAGTGCCAGGTTTGATCCTGGCCTGCCGGCGAGAATCCCATATGGCGCAACAGCAGACCTCTCCCGTGTCGCCCGCTGCTCCCCTCAGCAGTGTATTTCTGTCGTCTGCCTGTTCTGCTCCCCGCTCTATCTTTGGTGAATCCTCTCACCCTCCCATACCTCTGGCCTGTACCCCATCTCGTGTATAAAAAATAAATAAATCTTTAAAAAAAAAAAAAAAAAACTAGGAGAGTCATCAAATGGCGATGGAAAATACCTGCAGAGTCTTTAACAAACAAGGAGCCAGGCACCCCTGAAACTCTAGAATATGAGCAGGTAAGTCCAAACAACCACACAGGAGCTCTAGAGTTGTGTTACGGTAGGAGAGGAATGAAAAGGAGTGTCCTGATGTTTTCAGAAACACAGAAATGGCCTATGAATATCCATCACCAAAGGCAGATGATCCCATCTGACATGCATCCACAGCAAAGAACTCTAAGACCCCAGCCTTTTGGTTTTCTCTGACCAACACCTGACTTTTAAGACCCTCACTTTGCTATAGCTACCAAGGTTTTGAAACCTTACTTTCATTTGCAATTCTGTGATTAATATGCCAATTTTCTCGATGACAACAAGTATTTCTGAGTGAATAGGTATAAAACCTCACCCAAAGAAGTGTGAAAAAGAAAGACCTTTAGTAAATTAATATTTTTGTTAAAAAAAAATACTATCCCCATACATTTAACAGGGGTTTGTTGACTTCTATTTCATCCACTAACTTTGGGTTTTTCATTCTTAATGAAAAATCACAGTAATGTGTTTTTCCAAATCAACAGTCTATTTTCTCCTTGAGATTAATTATATCTCTTGAACATAAAAGCAGCATCCAGCACTATGTATTGGAAATGTCCTTGTTATAAACAGTATCAATTATTATGCCACACATCACATGTAATTATTAATTCTGCCCTAGGTAGGAGAGGTACAGAGACAAGACGACGTTTGAGCTGTGCCTTGGAAGATAAAGAAGCAGATGAAGAGGATGAGAGCCATGAGGAGAGCAAACCCACAGGGACAAGGCACAGAGGCATCAAAGTGAGTGCGAGGCATGGAACTTTCTGGTGGTTAAAGTAAATGCAGAAGAGTGGAAAAGACAAGCCTTGAAAACCAGTTTGGTGTCAACCTCAAATGTCAAGTTGTGAAAAACCTCAAATGTCAAGTTAAGAGTAACCGTGTGACTCTATAGTCAATGGGAGGTTGGCACAGGTTTTGCAGTGGAGTCTGGTCAGCCATCTTACTGGTCACAGGATGGACAGTTGAACTGTGGAAAGAGAAGAGGAATAGTAGACGGTTTGGTTGGTTGATTGATCAGTTAATGAATTCTCCCAGGCCCCTTGTGGCTATTCTAGATTTTATCCTCCTCAGACTTCACACTCAACCACCTTTGCCCCCTACTTCACAGAGATAATTAGTTAAGTGGACACCACCAGTGACAGCCTGCTCCAGCCCATGACTTCTCCCAGCTTTTTCTCCAGTCTAGGATGGGGCTGGTCCTGCCCAGCGACCTGAACCCAGCCCTCCATCTGCACCTTCGAGTCCTTCCCTCCTGTCTCCTCCAGGCATTGTCTCAAATATCTTTTCTTCCCTGCCCATTATCTCTAATCAATCCTACTTTGCTGGGCCCACCCCGTTTCAAATGTGCACTCAAATCTTCCTTTTCCTAAACACTCATCTCCACTCACCACCTTTCACCCTGTCTGTCAACTCTTCTGTGCTCCTCAAAGAAACTCTACACTTAAAAGTCCCGTGTCTCACCTCCACACACTCTCAGCCCCACTGCATCAATTATAGGGGGACAGATATTAATCTCTAAGGCCACTCAATCTTCACATGAGTGGATTTCTCTGTTGTTTTCTTCATAGTTGACCTCTCCCACCTTCTAGAAATTCTCCGTATCTGAATTTTGAGACATCCAATTTTCCAGGTCTCTTCATCTCAATCAGATAATATATTCAGGGGCTTATATTCCTCTAACTTCTCATTCTACTCCTCTAACCCATAAGTGCTGGTTTTCTCCAGGCATCTGTTCCCAGTTTAATAAATTCTGCTCAGTCAAGTATCCACTCTTAGAGCTTCAATTTTCAGTCACCTAATTACATCTAAATAGTACAGCACAATCCTTGGTGCCCAGTAGGTGCTTAATCGCTGCCACCTTCCTTCTTTTCTCCAACCCAGCACAAAACCTTTTAATACAGTGGCCTGGTTTCCAACTACTAATGGGAAGCAAAGTCCAACCACACCCCTCCGCTTAGGTTCTTACCCTCATCTTCTGGCCACCTCTTCTCTATCTAATTTTCTTTTCCTTTTTCCACACACTCACTTTCCTGCTTTAGTTCTCCTCATATGGTCATAATTTAAAATTGAAGAGCATTTCAACATATTTGAGTACCACCTAATATATTACAAAATGTTTGTAAGCTTAGCCATATAGTTTTGCTATGCAGTCACAAATTTTATAATTTTGTCATCTCTCAAAATCAAAAATCAGTTCATGTTCAACAACTTTTTATGTCCATGTGGTGCTCACTTGATGGAAACTAGCAGCAGGAACTGTCCAGTGCAACGCCTGCCAACCAGCTGACCCCAGTGGGCCTGCCCTGTGGCCCCTCCTGGATGCTCAGTTGGCCAAAAGCAATGGCTATGAGGATCCACACTGTTCACTGGCACATTAGGAAGTAGAGAAAGTTCTCCAGAGAAATAGTTTATCCCAGAAAACAGCTTTTCACTTTCCTGTCACATGCAATGTAGCCCAGAAAATAGCAGCTTCTCAGTGAAACACTTCCTCCCTTCCTCAAAGAACTGCTTCCTGAAGAGTTTTGTGAGGAAAGGGAGCGCCTCCTTTCTTGGTAGAGCATATATCTATTATTATTTCTAAGTTTTTAAACTTTTTTTTTCTGCAGCCCTCATTTTATTTATTTTTTTTTGAAGATTTATTTATTTATACATACAAGAGCTGGGCCAGAGGTGTGGGGGGTGAGAGGATTCACCAGAGACAGAGTCGGGGAACAGAACAGTCAGGTTGATGGAAACACACTGCTGAGGGGAGCAGCGGGCAAGTCAGGAGAGGTCTGCTGTGCCATGTGGGTAGCTCCCTGGCCAGCCGGGGGATCAAACTCGTGCTACAGTGGTTGCAGACAGCTTCATAGGTTGTGTCTTAACTCCTTGCGCCACCAGGAAGGTCCTGTAGCTCTCATTTTAAATGATGACCTCTCGAGAGGGTTAGGAAGTCATCTTTGAGAAGGGACAGCAGCAGCCATTAAAGGATCAGCTCCTAAAGGGGAGAACTGGCCACTGAGCAAGAGGGGTTGTAGCTGATACACTCCTCAGCAATCCATTACTGTCTTCTGTAAAGCAAATGTGACCCAGAGGTGACCTCAGAAATGCAGAAAAGAAGAATTATGAAGGGGACCCATGAGGCAACACATTCTGTTTAATTGGATGGGACTACATTTCCTTCCTCGCAGTTTTTGCCTCAGCATGAGGCGAGCAGACTCCCTGGAAGCCATTAGCCATGAGGTCCCTGGAGACACACAAACAAACTTCACCCAATGGTTGGGCCAATCTCCACAACTGAGACGGAAAAGTTTCTGCCAACAATCTGAACAGGAATGAACAACGTAGGCCAGGAGGGGAGGCCAGCTTCACCGTCCAGGTAGGTGATGGCGAGGACCAGCAGAATCCAGAGAGGACAGAAATGATATCCAGAGATGGCCCAAGGATAAGGCAGTACCTCAGGACCAGAGCCACCAGGAAGGAAGTGCACACGTGGTTTGTGTGGCTCATGCCTTCTTCACATAGGGAACCCTGAGGCCAGCCTGGGCAGCCACTCTTCACGCTTTCTCATGCACACAAAAAAATGAAGAATACAAATCGCCCAAACAACCTACTTTGATTTTTGTCTGCATTGCTGGTAACATGCCCTTTGAAAATCAACACCGAATAAGCAATAAATGTTGCAAGAAAGAAATTTCAAGATTACTTTCTAGACTGGCCAATGGTCCCTGACTGGTAAATGTGCAGGAGAAACAAGGACCAGCCCATTAAAATCACAGGGGACACTTTGAGGACTGGGAGGTGGGGAAGGTGGGGGGAGAGGCACGTGGCTGCAGGAGAAAACCACTTCTGCCCTAGAAGGGGCAGGGCTCAGGGTTCTGGGGCACAGGCACCAGCACAGGAGGCAGGTCAGGGCGTCTGAGCCAACTAGTGGGATGTTGCCTTAGCCAGGACACTGCAGACTGAGGCTCTTGTGGTGCCCCTGAGGCCTGCCCCACCCCTTCCCTTGTCCTCCACCACCCGCTGTGCAGGAGCAGGTGAGCTGGGAGGGAAGCAGAACCCACCAGGTGAACCAAGTTATTCAGGCCACACTGCAGGGACAGAGGGGAGACCAGACCCTGTCTACCACCACCCCCTTGCTCCTGAAATCTCCATTCTCTCTTCGACCCTCAGCAAAGTGCCCCAGTATTTAGGGCTAGAGCTGAGACAGCAGCTTCTTCGGGGTTATGTGCTTCTCATGTTCTGCATCCGTCCTTCCAGTTTTTCTTAGTCTTGCTGTTGTTTGTTTCCAAAGTTGTCTCTGTGGCCAGCATCAGCCCAAGGCGTAAACTTAAAGAGCTTCTCAGGTTTTTGCTGTTCTGTGCCTTTCTACATATCCTCATAAAAGCAGGACATTTAAATTCAAAGTGAAGGATTAAAGCAGGGGGGCATGGCTGTTAGTTCCCTGGGCGCCTCTCCCACTAGAGGAGGCTGCAGCATGGAACCCACAAGCCTGAGATAACTTCAGAGTTCCAGAATAGTCTCACAGACAGGTTCTGCCAGTCCAATTGTTACCTCGGTGGGCGACACGCCTGGCCTTTCCTACTTAGCCTTGTTCTGATGTTTCCTTATTATCCTTTTAAATATCCATGGATTTTAAAATGAAGACTCCTTCATTCTTGATCTGGGTAATTTAGCTAGAAGTTTATGAATGTTTGAATTTTTCATTAAACCAGGTTTTGGTTTCATGGATTTCCTCTACTTTCCATTCTCTATTTCGGTGATTTCTGCTCTTATCTATTTTTCCTTTTTTCTACTCACTCTGGGTTTACTTTGTGGGTTTTTTTTTTTTTCTTTTTCAGTTAAAGCATTTATAGCTGTAAAAAATTCCCCTGAGTACTGATTTAGTTACATTTCACCAATTTGTATGCAATTTTGTCTTCTTTTGCATTCAGTTCAAAATATTTCTAATTTCCCTTTTTGGTCCACAGGTTATTTGGTGGTATGTTGTTTAATTTTCAAATATTTGGGATTTTTCAGATATTATTTCTATTGTTGGTTTCTCATTTAATTCAACCGTGGTCAGAGAACACACAGTAAGTCCTCACTAACATGACCCAGTGAGTTCTTGGAACTGTGGCTATAGCAAAACGATGTACAAAGCAGGGCTTCCATTTAGTTCAGTGCCAGCCTGGAATTTTTTTTTTTTTTTTTACTCATCAATGTTATAACAAACAATGTTGAGCAAAACAACCTTATTTGAGGACTTGCTGTACTCTGTAGGATTCAATCTTTTAAATTAATTTGGACTTCGTATGACTCAGCATTTTGTGACTATCTGTTATGCACTTTAGAAGAATGTGTATTCTGCTGGGAGGGAGGTATCCTTTTATAAGAGTCAGTTGGGTCAAAACAATTGATAATGTTCAGGTCATCTGAATACTGCTTTTCTGTCTCTTCTGTCAATTATGGAAAGAGAATTACTAATGTCACAATTGTGGCTTAAACGATTTTCCTTTAACTCTGGTCAGTTTTTGCTCCGTGCATTTCTGCTGTTCAGTGTGTACACGTTTCCTGTTGTTATCTTCTAGATGAATTAAGCTATCACCGTGAGACGCCCTTCTTTATCCTGCGAATCTTCCTTTCTCAAGACTACAATTAATGTGGCCATTCCAGCTTTTTTTGTGATTCGTATTTGCGTGGTATATATTTTTCTATCCATTAAATTTTACTGTTTTTTACTTTTTTTTTCTAGTCTGGGTTTATGTCAGTTTTGGGTTTTCTTTTTCTTTTTTCTTACATTGTTGTTGTCCCCATAGTTCTCCCGCTATCATATCACCCAGTGAATCATTACCATATTCTTTTGTGTTCCTCCCTCCCCTGTTTTGACTCCCCTCGTTCCCCCTTCTGTCCTGTATGCCTCAGATCTGCGGTCAGCTTGCTAATCTTAACTGTTTCTTGATCTTTTGTTTGATTTCTCTTATTCTACATATAAACCATTGACATTTATCCTTTCCCTGTGACTTATTTCACCCAGCATAATCCTTTCCAGCGCCATCCATGTTGCAGCAAACGGCATGCGTTTGTCTTTTTTGATCACTGAGCAATATTCCATTGTGTAAATATATCACATCTTTTTAATCCTTTTAAACTGAGCTTCTTATACATAACTGAATCTTGCTTTACTGCCCAGTCTAAAGTATCTTTCTTTTAGTTGGAATATTTGGACCACTTAATTTTAATGTAGTTATTGATATCGTTAGTTTAGGTCTATCTTGAAATTTTTCCATTTTTCTGTCTAAAATTTGGTATATACCACATTCTTCTGATCTAATCACCCATCAATGGACATTTAAGTTGCTTCCATGTCCTATCTATTGTAAGTAATACTGTTGTGAACACTATGGAACATATGGGCTTTTGTGTTGATGGCTTCATATTGTGTGAATGTGTGCCCAAGAGTGGGATTGCTGGATCATATGGTATTTCCATTTTTAGTTTTTTAAGGTAAATTCAGATTTTTTCCCACAATGGCTATACCAGCTTACATTCCCACCAATAGTATACTATGTTTTCATTTTCTCTGTATACTCTCTAACACTGTTGGGGTCTTTAATATGTGCCATTCTCACAGGTATGAATTGGCATCTCATTGTAATTTTAATCTGCATCTCTCTTATTAGAAATGAAAATGAACACTTTTTCATATGTCTTTTGACCTTCTGAATATCCTCTTTGATACATTGTCTGTTCATATCTGCTGCCCATTTACTAATTGGATTGTTTCTTTTATTATTGACTTGTATGAGTTTTTTTTAATATATCTAGGTTATTAATCCCTATTCAATTATATATTGTGTGAATATTTTCTACCGTTCAATAGGATGTCTATTTAATCATCTTGTATTTTCTTCCACTCTATAGAAGCTTTTTAACTTGAGTTAATCACAATTTTTTTTTTTTATTTCCCCGCCATAGGGATGGAGTCGCCAAAAATATCTTTATTGCTAATATCCTGCACTGTATCACCAAAGTTTCTTCTATGTATTTTATTGTTGCTACTCTTATATCTAAATCTTTTATCTATTTGGTGTTTATTTTTGTGTACAGTATTAGCAAGTAACTCAACTTCATTCTTCTATATGTGGCTTTCCAATTTTCCCAACATCATTTATTAGAGACTGCCTTCTTCCCATTTTATAGTCATAGCTGCTTGATCATAAATGAGGTATGGCATATATGTGGATTTATTTCTGGGCATTTGATTTATGTATTTATTTTTGTGCCAGTACCATATTATTTTAATACTATTGCTTCCCAGTAAAGTTTGAAATTGGGTAACATGATACCTCCACTTTTCTCTTTTTTTTTTTTTCCTCAGAGTTGTCTTTGCAATTCAAGACCGTTTGTGGTCCCATAGAAATATTAATATTTTTTTCAGTTTCTTTGAAAACTATTGCTGGTATTTCTATGGGGATTGCGTTAAATTTGTAAATCATATAGGCAAGGATAGTCATTTTGATTATGTTGATTCTTTCCATCCATGAGCATGGGATATCCTCCTATCTCCTTATGATGCTATCGAAGTCCTCTAGTTCTATCTTATGTTCTTGCTGTATAGATCTATTACCTCCTTTATTAGGTTGATTCTGAGGTATTCTTTTTAAAGCAATTATAATTGGAGTTACTTTTTAAATTTCTTTTGCTTCTTGTTCATTATTGGTATATAACAAGGCTATGGATTTTTGTATATTGATTTTGTAACCTGCCACTTTGCTGTATCCATTTAATTATTCCTAATAACTTTTTGATGGCATCGCTAGGACTTTCTCTATATAAAATATCATAACATCTGCAAATAGTGGTAGTTTCACATCTTCTTTTCTGCATTGGATTCCCCTTATTTCCTGTGTTTGTCTAATAACTCTAACCAAAGCCAGAGTACTAAGTTAAACGTAAGTGGTGACAATGGACATCATTGTCTTGTTTTCAGACTTAATGAGAAAGCTTTCCATTTTTCACCATAGAGTGTTATGCTCGCTATTGGTTTATAATATATGGCCTTTACCATATTGAGGTAAATTTCTTCTATTCCCATCTTGTCTAGAGTTTTTATCAAAAATGGATGCTGAATTTTTCAAATACTTTCTCTGCATCTATTGATATCATAATTTTTATCTTTACTTTTGTTGATGATGTTACATTAATTTATGTATACTTACCCACCTAACCATGCTTGAATCCTTATGATAAATCCCACCTGATCATAGTATATAATTATATACATATAATATAGTGTATAATTATATATATATATCATATATATAATATAGTGTATAATTATATATATATATCATTTTCTTTTTATCCAGGTTGGAGTCCGTAAACTACTTGATCTATGGATTTAAGTATAGCAGTTCCATTCTGCTTTTGGTTCTTTTTATATATCTTCCATTTCTCTCTTCATTGTGTTCATGTTTCCCTTTAATTACATGTACATAGGTATAGTAATTGTTTTAGCGGCTTTGTCAACTAGTTCTGTGATCTCTGTCATACTGAAGCAGGGGCGGAGAGGACCACAAAAGGGCAACAAGGCCAGAGGCAGGATGGAAGAATGGAACGGCCACCCACCTGCCCAGGCTCTGAGATCAGAGAGCCACAAAAAGCCCCAAAAAGCCCAAAGGTCAAAAACCAAGGGCTATGGCAATACGACACCCACAATAGGGGCCTACTGGGCTGTAGCCTAGCAAAGGACAGTGCCCAATAAGAGGACAGGTCACTGTCTGTGGGTTCTCACCCACCCACACGATTGCTAGAGACCTTAGGCTCCAGGAACAACAACCATGGGGTTTATTTTACAAACAGGGGAAACAAAGAGCTTACTGTATCCACAAGTGGCAGCTGTCTCACCCAAGTACCATCAGTGATGGTCGCCACCAGTCACCAGGAATGCTGGGCAGAACTAGCCAGTAGTGATGGACACCACTGGTCCCGCAAAGGCGGTGCAGAGAACCAGTGTTCACAGCTCTTTGTGAGTTGCTGGGTTACACCAACAACAAACATCTCTCTGAGACACTAGGCCCAGGGCCTTTGGTGCTCCTTCCAGGCAATGTCAGAGACAGGACCAGGGCTCAGTCTGTGACAGAGTCCTTCGGCTTCTCTCCCCTCCTCAGAGGTTGGCTGCTTGATGCTTCCTTTCTTCTTTCTTTGGAGGCTGGAACCATCTTCTTTTTTTCAGGGGCTAGCGGCAGCGTCTCTGGGCTGATGTCATCTTCCTCCTCTTCCAGGGCTGGCGTTGGCTCCCTTCTCCAGGGTCTAGCTAGCATCATCTCTTTCACTGGGGGCGTGCGTTGCCTCTCCTTCAGCTCCCTTCTGACCCTGACTTATATCCTCTTTCTGGGTGTCTCACCCACAAGTCTGATTGGACCATTTTTCAATCCTGTGGCTGATTGGATCATTTATCAATCAGCCCATAGCACCTGATTGGTCCATTCCACAATCCAGGAAGTGCGCTTGGGGTGTACTTGTGTGACTTGTAGTGACTCATGGTGAGAGGCTGGGTCCTGGTAACAAAAGTCTGATTGGACCATTTAGCACCAATCAGCTCCCAGCTCACAATCTGATTGGTCCACTGTTACAGTTGCTTTGAGGAGCAACTGCCATAACTGACAAAAAGGCAGTTACTGAGCCCTGAGGAGCAACTGCCACAACCAACTCGTGGTGGAGTAGCGGGTTGAAAGATCACCACTACTCCTGCTGGCTCCCACTGCTGAGGTGGCAGGAGGTTGGAGGGAAGGTTGGAACAGCCACCCACCTGCCTGGGCTCTGAGACCAGAGAGCCAACAAAAAGCCCCAAAAGGCCAAAAACCAAACCCAAGGGCTATGGCAATACAATACCCACGCAACAGGGGCCTGTGGGCTGTAGCCTAATGAAGGACAGTGCCTGATAAGAGGACAGGGCACTGTCTGTGGGTTCACTTGCACACAATTGCAAGAGACCTCAGACTCCAGGAACAACCATGGGGTTTACTTTACAAACAGGGGAAACAAAGTCCTTACTGTATCCACAAGTGGCTGCTGCCTCACCCAGACAGTGTCAGCGATGGTCACCACCGGTCACCAGGGGTGCTAGACAGCACTGGCCAGTAGGGATTTTCACTACTGTCACGCAGAGGTGGTGTCAGAGACACCCTGTGTTAATGGCTCTTTGTGAGCGGTTGGGTTACCCCAACAACAACAGCTCTTTGAGACACCAGGCCCAGGGCCTTTGGTGCTCCTTCCAGTCGATGTCAGAGACAGGACCGAGGCCCAGTCCGTGACAAAGTCTTTCTTCCTTCCTCGGAGGGCTTCTCTTCCTTCCTCAGAGGGCAGCTGCTGGATGCTTCTTTTCCTTTTTCTTCAGAGGCCAAGACCAGAGTCTTCCTCTTCTTTCTTTTTCCTTGGGGGGCTGCCGGCTCCCACCACTGAGGTAGCTGGATTTGGTAACAATATTATGGTTACATAAATATTTTCCAATGTTGACCCTGACAGATTATCACGATTACATTTCTTTTATATCTGTCAGGAACAACTTTTCTTTTTGCTCTTAAGTTTAATGACTGGAAACCTGTGAATTAAACTAACAAAAGATTATTACCAAGAAAAAAAGCATCAATTTCTATTGATATTTACATATGTATTGTTCACAGAAAAGGAGTGGTACTCAAAGAAATAGCTTATATACCATTTTATCAAAGAAAATGGGGGTTGGACTTCAAGCAGTGATAAACCACAGGGAGCTGCCTGGGACATATAAGGGGAACTAACAGAAAATAAAGGTTATTTTAGCAAAGTCTATTCATGCAAACTCCTCTCAGAATGGCCTCACCTTCTCCCAGGCAGGAGGCACCTTCACAGAGGGCAGGGAATGTGTGCCTTGCTTAGGCAGGTAGGGAAAGGTAGAGAAGAACTTTTCCTTGAATCAGTTGATTCTCATTTATCTTCAGCTCAAAATAATCCTTACACCACTGTGACATATTTGGAGACAACACATCTAGATCCCCTTCCACATTTTAAATTGAGTTAATAAATTATCTAATATTTCCTTGCCATTGTTTCTCTTTTCCCTCTGTACTTCATTCTTAAATCTCTATCAGAATTCTAAATCTCCTCTGACATCAGTAAGCCTGTAGTTTCATTTTCTTTTCTGAGACACCCATCATGTTCCCTGACTAGCTGCTCCCACCTGGGACAGCTGCACAATTGTTCTCTCACTCAGTTATTGCTGCATAACAAAGATTCCCAAAACCTCAGTGACACAAACAATAAACCTTTATTTTTTCACATTTCTGTGGGTTGGCTATGGCTTGGCTGGTGAGCTCAAAACTGCATTATATCTGTCCTGTATCTGTCCTTGCAGTGGACAAGCCAGAACAAGTTCTCCTGGTGATGGCAGAGGTGCAGGAAGGCAAGTGGAAACTCGTGATCCTGCTTAAAGCCTAATTCTGGACCAGGCACCATGTCACTTCCTCCCACATCCACTGACACAAGTAAGTCATGGCTGAGCCAAGCCCAAGTAAAGAGGTAGAAGATATATTCTACATCTTTTGGGAAAAACTAAAAGACAACATGGCAAAAGTAACTGATACAGGGGAAGTTGAGGAATTGGGGTTGACATTGACTACCTCTGTTTTCTTTTTGAAGTGAAATCTGCACTGTGTGAATTCTCTTTCCTGCTTTCCAGTGTTGGATCTTCTGTCTTCTTGATCCCATGAATTTCTCTTTCTTAGATTACTTCCTAATTTTGGTGAAATACATCTCCACTTCTTTGGACACCTTTCTTTCTAAGTAGACTGGAATTTCATGATTGGGTACCTGTGTAGGCCTTTTTTTTTAATTTTCATTGTTGATGGACCATTTCAATCTGAAATCCTATGTCATTCAGTTTGGACAGTTCTCTTGGATGATATCTTTGATAATTCCCCTCTTCTCTGGCTTTTATTCTTGGACACATCAATATTTGTAGTCTGGACCTTCTGGATTAGTTCTCTGATTTTCTTATCTCTTCTTTGTTCTAAATTATGAGAGATTTTTTTCAGCTTTGTCTCTGAAAACTTCTATATTTTTAATTTCTGCTTTCATCTTTTTTTCAAAGAACTTTTCTAACTCTGATTATTCCCACTCTAAGCCTCATGTTCTGATTAGACTGATTAGTCTGTGTAGAAAGGTATTTTTTCCTTAAATGTTTGATAGAATTCATCAGTGAAGCCATCAGTGGACTTTGAATATTCTGTGAGAAGTTTTTCAATTCACAAACTTAAATTCTTTAATTGACTCAAGTTTGCTTTTGAGTCAGTTTTGTTAATTTGTGTCCTTCAAGATATGTTTCTATTTCATATTAGTTGGCCAATTTATTGGGATAAAAATGTTCATAATTACCCTTTACTATCTTTTTAATGTCTCACACCTGTTGTGATATACCCACTTACATTACTAATACCGTTATTAGGTTGGTCTCTCTTTTCCTTGGTCCATTTAGCAAGAGGTTTTTCAATGTTTTGAGTGTTTTGAAGAACCAGTATGTGGTGCATTGATTTTCTCTATTTATCCATGTTCCAGAGCCATGACCCCCACTCTCATTACTAATCTTGGGTTTAATTTCCTTTTTCTATATACTTTTTTAAAAGATTTTATTTATTTATGCATACAAAAACTGGGGTGTAGGCCAGCGGTGCAGTGGGGTGAGAAGATTCACCAGAGACAGAGTAGAGAACAGAACAGGCAGATCTCCTGAAATGCACTGCTGAGGTGAGCATTGAGCTCAGGCCAAGTGGCAAGCAATAGCTTGGTAGTGCTGAGACTTCAACCCCTGCACCACAAGAGAGGCCTCTTTTTTCTAGATTCTTACGGTTGAGATCATTGACCTAGAGTTCTTTTCCAATGTATTTAAAGCTATAGGTCATCATCTTAATTACTGCACCACACAGATTTCAATTGTGTGCTTACATATTCATTCAGTTCAAAATATCCCTGTGACTCTTCTTCAATTCCAGTGCTATTGAGTAGTGTGTTATTCTCCAAGCATGTGAGATTTTCCAGATTTTTTTGTTAATGGTTTCTAATTTAATTCTGTTGTAGTCTGAGAGTGTATTCTACATGAATTCAACTCTTCTAAGTTTATTGAGACATGTTTGTGAACTAGTACATCTTCTATCAAGTGGAATATTCTATGTGTACTTGAAAACAGTATCAATTTTGCTGTTTTAGGTAGAGTATTCTATAGATGTCAGTTAGGTCAAGTTAGTTGGTTCACACTGTTATTCAATGTCTTCTCTATGCTCACTGATTTTTTTTTTCTGTCTAATTGTTCTATCAATTACTGAGAGAAGTGCTGAAATATATTCCATTATCACTGTTTATCTATTTTGGCTTTTTTTTTTTTTTACATGAACCATAAAATTTTTTATTGGATCAAGAATTGCTAAGTCTTGGGCCTCCCTGGTGGCACAAGTGGTTAAGCACAGAACTATGAAGCTATCAGCAGCCACTACAGCACGAGTTTGATCCCCGGCCAGGGAGCTACCCACATGGCGCAGCAGACCTCTCCTGTCTCACCCACCACACCTCTGTTCTGTACCCCAGTTCTTATATGCATAAAAAATAAATCTTTATAAAAAAAAAAGAATTGCTAAGTCTTAAGTAAGAATTGTTCTATATTTTTGCTGATATGATCCATTTATCATTATGAACTAACATTATATTGATTATATTCCTTGTTTTGAAGTCCTATGTATCTAATTTTATATAGCCACCAGTTTTGCCACAGTTAGATTTCTTCCCCATCCTTTTCTCTTTTTTATCTATCTTTGTCTTTAAATTAAAGTAGGTATCTCACATGGTGTGGGATGGACGGAGGGAGAGGGACAGTAGGATGGTAATTAGAACTTTGCTGGTGGCCATGGTATGGTATCATACACGCTAAGAGGTGTGAAAAGTTACACTAAAACTTATACAGTGTTGTAAACCAATGTTACCTCAATAAAAACTAATCAGACATTTAAAAATAAAGTGGGTATCATGTAGACAGCATATAGTTGCCTTGCACTTTTATGTATTCCATAATTTTTGCCTTTTAATTGGAGTGTTTAGACTATATACATTTAATTCAGTTATTGATATGTTTTAAGTCTTCCATTTTATGATTTTTTTCTCTTTGTTCCATCAGGGTTTTGTCCTTTATTGCATCTTTATATCTTAAATAAATTATGTTTAGAAATTCATTTTATATTCTCCATTGGCAAGACACCGGTATCCAGATCTGCCTGAAGTCTCAAACTTTTATCTATATACTTATTTTTGACTGATTGCTGTGATATTCAAAGTATTCCTCTTTAATACATTCTACCTTCAAACAATAAAGCATCACTCCTCTTTACATATATAAGAAACTTACAACATGGTATTTCCTCTCCAATTCTTTGTAATATTGTCACATATTTTACTTCTAGGTATGTTATAAATCCCCAAATATATATTTGTTTTAAACATTATTTTTTATTTTAAAAATTAAGGAAAAAGATAAATTAAATTTTGTATTTATCTGTACACTTGCCATCTCACGCTGTTTTCATTTTAACATCTAGAGAACTTTCATAAAGGACTAAAGTCCTTGCTCAAATGATATGCTTTCCTCCCTGATTAAAACTGTTCTTCTCAAATCCCTGATTAAAAGTTTTCCTGATGATAATTTTAGCTCTCACATGGAGTGATTATAACAGGTACAAATTGGAATGAATGAAGATGGATTTTCTTTCTTATCACATGAAAAAAAAATCCCATGCAAAGTCACTAAGGTTAAGGGAATTGTAACCAACCTTGGGAAGGAGTCTCAGGGGATATGAGTGCTTTAATAAGATCTTGGGAGCCACAAAACAAGGGTGGTGGGAATTGTATAGGGACTGTAACCTAGATGAGAATGCATACATTGTGCAAAACTGAAAAATGATGTAAAAAAATAAAAAATTAAAAAAAAAAATCTTGGGATCCAGATCTGTCTGAAATCTCTCTTCACACAGACCAGATCTTTCCCCTCAGAGACTCCAACCACTCAGAGACTCCAACCACTGCAGTGTTCAAATCATACACAACCACAGCTCCATCCATGGCAAATTTCCTTCAATATTCTCACCCCATCCCTCCCTACTCTGTATTTAGGGAAGAACCCTGGAATGAGTTAATTTTCTCAGATCCTACTGTCCAGGTGGTGTCAGAACCTTCAGTATCTATACCTAGAATCCATCTTGAAAATAAGCTTTCACAACCCAAATGCCCAGAAATAGATGACTGGACCAAGAAGATGTGGTACATATACACAATAGAATATTACTCAAAAATATCAATCAAAAAAGATAAACTCATGCAATTTGCAACAACATGGATGGTGCTGGAAGGGATCATGCTCAGGGAAATAAGCCAGAAATAAAAAGAAAAATACCAGATGGTCTCACTCATAGCAGGAATTTGGATAACCTAAATAAGGGACCAGGAAACAGACTAATTATAATAAAGTAAAAATCAAAATCAACAAGTAACTATAAACCAGAGACACACTATGGAGGTGGGGAGGAATTAGGATCAAAATAAGGGGGGTGGAAATTTTATGGGGATTATAACCAAGTTGAAAATGGCATATATTGTGCAAAAATGAAAAATGATGTAAAAAATATATAAAATAAAAAATTAAAATTAAAAAATTAATAAATTCAGGCTTCAGGTACTGCAAAAAAAGAAAGAAAATAAGCCTTCATAAAATATTGCACATATGTGACCTGACCTGAGACTTTCAGCAAGAACTAAAGAGATTCCCAGCTCTGATATACTGACAAACTCATCGGTCTGAAGGATATCTCAAGAAGGACAGGAAGACCAGAGAATGAAGAACCCAGGGATGAAGCTGTCACCACATCAATGCTACAAAAATTTTGAAATTTAATAGTTATCTTTTACATGTTGGGAGCTTTGCTAAGGGAAAGGTGATGTAGGTGACAAAAAAGAGAGGACTTGAAGGGGACCGAAGAGGAAGTAAGATGAGAGTGGAGTTTGTAGAGCAGGTGGAACCCAGCTCTTTTCTAAGTTCTCTTCGTTGCCTGAGATTTTGTTACCTGCAGCAAGACACACACAGTTACTGTCATCCTTGGGTTCAGGACCCGCAGCTCATGTCCACCCTGCCCCAGACCTTCTATACCCGATCCCTCCTTTCCCTGCTCTCTGTGGGCCAGAGACAGGTTTTTCTCTGCGAATGTCCTAGTCTTCTAGGTTAACAACATGAGGAACCAAGGAGTATTCCAAGGTGGTAAAATTTCCCCACAACCTCCAGCTGATTTTAGGGTCAATGCGCGTGCTCCAAGTCATGCACTCTCCTGAGAAGTGGAGGTGCTCATTATTGGGGCCAGAGAAGACGCTCAACTCCAGGATGATGTCAATAAAAGGACAATTGGTTGCACTCTGAAGGGATTCCAAAACCAGTGTATATTTTTCAGCTGACCACCTGACAACTTTACTCAGTGCTTCTTCCTTCCTGAAAGTCTTGACTCCCTTGACTTACAATAATTTCTCCTAATTCTTCTGCTGCTCTTTCTTCTCTCCGTTTTCTTTGAGTACTTCATTTAGTATTTTAATTATAATTTTTGTATTATTTTTGATTTTTATATAGGTTATTAATTTTTTTAAATGTGTTACACGGCAATAGCTATTCAGATCTTTGCCCATTTCTAAATTGGGTTATTTGTCTTTTATTATTGACTTTTTTAAAAAAGATTTTTTTATGCATACAAGAACTGGGGTACAGGCCAGAGGTGCGGGGGGTAAAAGGATTCACCAGAGACAGAGCGGGGAACAGAACAGGCAGATTGACTGAAACACACTGCTGAGGGGAGAAGCGGGCGAGTCAGGAGAGGTCTGCTGCACTATGTGAATTGCTTCCTGGCCGGTGGGGAATGGAACTTATGCTGCAGAGGCTGTGGATAGCTTCATAGTGTAGTGCTTAACCCCCTGTGCCACCAGGGAGACCCTAAAATTGGTTATTAAAATATAATTGATCTTGGAATTTTTTTGTGCCCCTAAAGTTTGCACCCAAGACCATTGCCTCATCTCTTCATCCTAGTTTCTATACCTCCTCTTAAAGTCTGGCATTCTCTAGGGTTGCCTTCATTCTAAACAGTCCCCTTGGAAAATATCATGGTTTCCCATGCCATCAACAATTACCTACATATGTCTGAACTACTGACAAAAATGAATGGTAATCTCAAATGAGAGGTACAACACCAAAGGTATGATCCATGAATCAACTAATTAATAAGGTGAACTCATTAACAGATTTCTGCTTTGAGAAAAACAACTTCAAGGAATGAGAAGACAAACCACAGACTGAGAAAATATTTCCAAGAGACACATCCGATAAAAAGAATTATACAAACTATTGGATAAATCTCAAATCTCAAGAGAAAAGAAATAAACAACCCAATTTAAAAACAGGCAAAAGACCTGGACACTCACTTCACCAGAGAAGAAGCACAGATGGCAGATAAGCATGTGAAAAGATGTTCAATGTCACATGTCATTGGAGAATTGCAAATTAAAATAACAATGAGACACCACTACACATGTATGAGAGTGGACAAAAATCAAAACACTGACCACACTAAATGCTTGTGAGGCTGGGGAGCAATAGGAGGTCTCATTCATAGCTAGTGGGAAGGTAAAACAGTGCAGACACTTTGGAAAACAGTTTCTCACAAAACTAAACATACTCTTACCAAATGAGCCAACAATCATGCTAGTTGGTATTTATTCAAAGGAATTGAAAACCTATGCCCACAACCCCTGCATGCTGATATTTATAAGAACTTTATTGACAAAAGATGGAAGCACCCAAGTTTTGTCCTTTAATAGGTGAATGGATGAGTGAACTGTGGTATATCAGGCAATAGAATATTATTCAGCACAAAAAGTAATAAGCTATCAAGCCACAAAAAGACAGGGGGCCTCCCTGGTGGCCCAAGAGGTTAAGCACAGCACCGTGAAGCTATCCACAGTCTCTGCAGCACAAGTTCGAGTTCAATCCCCCGGCAGCCAGGGAGCTACCCACATGGCACCACAGACCTCTCCTGTCTTGCCCGCTGCTCCCCTCAGCAGTGTATTTCAGTCAGTCTGCCTGTTCTGTTCCTTACTCTGTCTCTGGTGAGTCTTCTCAGCCCCCATACCTCTGGCCTGTACCCCAGCTCTTGTATGCATAAATAAATAAATCCAAAAAAAAAAAAAAAAAAAGTAATGTAGGAAACTTTGCTCCTATGTGAGAGACATCAATCTGCAAAGGCTAAGTACTAGATAATTCCTACTATATGACATTCTGGGATTGCCAAGGGTTGGGGAGGAGGAGAGGGTGAAAGGCAGAGCGCAGAGGATTTTTAGGGCAATGAGACTATTCTGTATGATACTACAATCGTAAAATGTCATTTAAAATGTGATTGAAAGGCATAAGTAAAATTCTGAATAAATCAAAAAAGATTACATGCTTCAGGATGGAGTGATTTAATATTAAGATGTCAATTACTCCCAAAAGTATGTGATCCCAATAAAATTTCCACATAGAAATATTGAGAAACTTGATAATTTTAACTTAAAATTTATTAAGAATAGTAAGTATGTTTGATTAGCCATGTCAAAAATGAAGAAGAAAAGCTGAGAGAGAAATTATCTTTCCAGGTATTTACCGAATACAAGGTAGCGTAATCAAAATACTGTAAGAGTGGGACAAGGAGAGATGTGCAGATCAACGGAACAAAACAGAGCTCAGAGGCAGACTCGTCTATAATGGAAACTTTATATATAAAGGGGGCACCGCAAACCTGTGGAGAAAAGATGAGCCATTTAGAATTTCTTGGGAAAACTGGTCTACTAGGCAGTTAAAAATAAAATAAAACTTGATTCCCATTTAATACCAAACACAAAGATGGTTTAGGGGCAGGATGGGCACAGGGCGGGATCTCTATGATTCTATGCAGACAGGTAAAGGAGTAGTCCTGGAGTCCTTGGCGGCTTTTGCAGGCGTTTATTTTACATTTTACCAGGTACACGGCAGGTAGGGGTGCCAGGGGGGCCGGGAGGTTGGCAGGCCTCCCAACCCCCAGCAATTCTTCACTCTTTCTGGGTTCCCCCGCATGGCCTCTGTTACTGTGGTGGCGGTTCTCTTCCGCTCTCTGTTCCTCTGCTGTTCCGTTCTCTGCTGGCGTCCCTATAACGACACCCTTATAAGGCCAGTCTTAGCCCAGGTGTACCCACCTACCTATGCCCACATCCCACTCCAGGTGGCCACCATCAGGCATGCATTCAGGACCGCAGGGATCCATCATCAGTCCTAATGGCGGGAGGGCAGAAAAGT